TAAAGATATGAAGAGATGAATTTTAAAACAAACATGCAAAAAAAGCAAAGTCATCAGGAACTGAAGGGAATGGAATGAGGAGGAGCCATATAAGTGGGTATGTCATCTGCACAAGGAAATATAAGTTGAACATAAGTTAAAGCTGTGGATAGAGATGTAATCATTTGGGTCCTTGTGAAGAAAACAAATGGATAAAAGAACAGTGACTTTATGAATTGACTGAACACACCGTAGTAAAATACTATGGGTGTGTCAGGTCCCAGGTGTACTGGAGGGTGTGCCCCCATGGGGGAGGTTTATCTACTTAATGGAATCCACTGAGTCAAGTGTGAAACTCATCTGGAAAATGTTACCCAAAGAGACTGGTAACCTCAAATCTATGAAGACATACTACTGAGTCTGAACCTCTATAGATCAATTAAGTAAAGTCAGAAAAAAGTAGGATTTGGTGATGGGAATATCATCTGCGACTAACAGGAAAACAATCTTAGCAATGAGAGAGGAAGCTAAATTGTAACAAATTAAAATTAAGGACTGTGTGAAATTTGAGAAAGTACTGCTAAGAAGTATAGTCTTTTTTTTTTTCTAATGCTCTCTCAACCAGATTAAACTCAAATTGAAAAGGCAATAGTAATTCATTTGCAGAGAATGTAAATATGAAATAAAATATATTTGAGGGGGAGAATGACTTGGATCTATTGATATACTTTGGAGGAGGGATTCAGAAAAAAAAATGAAATAATAGGACAGTTAAAAGATCATCAAGATGCTAAAGTATGGGAAGGATATTTTTATTAGTGTTCTCCAGAAAAAACAACCAAATAGATATAGATATGGATGTAGATACACAAGGAGATCCAGTATGAGGGATTAGCCCACTTGATGAAGCCATGAAGTCTCTACATCTGCCTCTGCTATCTGCGAGTTGGAACACCAGGCAAGTCAGTGGCATAATTTTAGTCTGAGTATGAAGATTTGAGAGCCCAGAGAGCTGGTGTAGTAAAGTGGTGGATAACACCCAAGGACCAGAGAAGATGTACCCTGCTTCAAGCAGGTAGGCAGGAAGCAAAAGGCAGGAAACCCCTCCTTCCTTCACTTTTCATTCTTTTCAAGTTCTTAAGTGGACCTGGGGGGTTAATTTAACTGACTCCAATAACTCATCTGCAGACTCCCTTACAGACACACTCAGAATCAGTGTCTAATCTGGGCAACACTTGGCCCAGCCAATTTGACACACAGAATTAACCATCCCAGATATTATAAAAGGAAGGCCAGGACATAACTTTCCTCCAACACAGAAGGAAGATGGGTAAGGATGCATTCTGTGATCAGTGGCCAGGGCACTAGGGAGAACATAATTATGCCCAATGCCATGTTGTATCTCCGTATAATCAGATAAGATCAACTATTAAAGGTTAGGCTGGTGGGATTAGAAATGTAAAATAAGCAATGTGAAGAGGAATATAAAAACCTAAAGACCAACAACAAGAAATATAAAAAGCCTATAATCACACACAAGAAAAAGAATTATAAAATAGTACTGATGGACAAGGTGCTTTGGAATAAAATTGAACTGGTACTGTTCCACAAGTCTACAAACTTTAAAACTTAATGTACAGCAGCAAGGACAAATAGTAAAGAAAAGAGATGGTTATAAATGTAAAATATGGGTAGATTTTTCTTTAGCTGTGTTTTACCACTGCGGTAGATAGTAGTGGGTATGCTTTTCTTTAAAAGACAAAGCAAAAGAACTGAGTGCTGGTGAAAGTGCATTTAGAAGACTGAACCACGATGTCTAGGCTGAACTGGGAAGTAGTTGATATAAAAAATGAATGATCAGATCCAGGAACCTGAAGGTCATACCAAGCAAGGAAAAGAGTATACAGAAGACAGGATAGTCCTTCGTAAGAATAACGTCATTGAGGAGAGACCCAGCAAAGGCAGAGAATGTATGGTGAGGAGTGCAATGGCCAGGTGAACTGTGAGAGGCCGGTGGAGTTGGGAAGCTCACTGTAAGCAAATAGAGAAGGGCTAAATCTAAAATAATCTTGAAAAGGCAAGACTGTAAAGCTTACTGGCAGGTGAGGCATAGAGAATGAGGATGAGAAGCAGCAAAAATGATCCCTACATTCCCAGTTTCTTACCTGGAAAATGAGAATGGGATAGACAAGCAGGAAAACAGGTCTCAGTAGAGAGGAATATGAATTTAGTGTTAGCTATTATGAGGCATGAAAGTGAAATTCTCTCTACACTACTGAAAGTACACACTTTAAAATAGAAAATGAGCCAGGCGTGGTGGTGAGCACCTGCAATCCCAGCACTAGGGAAGCTGATGCAGCAGGATCGTTGTGAGTTAGAGACCAGCCTGGGCTACAAAGTGAGCTCAAGGCCAGTCTGAACTCCATAGAGAGACTCTGTCTCAAAAAGACAAAAATAAATAAATAAATAAATAAAATATGAAACCTGGTGTTATAGATTGGCCTTGTGTTGCTAGGATAATCCCTCAGAACTATCTAGTTTCCCCTAGTAACTGCCAACTTGAAAACTATACTATGATGTAGTGGTGACACAAATAAATGGAACTTAAAATACTGACACAGAAACAACCTAAAGCACAAAACCACAGATGAAATTCAGTGTATTTACCACTTTTGTCAAACTCTTTGACTTGTAAATTGATAACTAGCAATATTATATTTCTGGATCTGGATAGTGTTTCATGCACGCTGGCTGGGGTGGGGTAAGACTGTAGGAAGGGAAAGGAACGTCTTGTCATGCCCATAAAACTCATCCGGCATTAATTTAAATCAGTTCAGATATTCCTACGTGACTTAGGAGGATGCTTTCTACAGCAAGCTCATGATTTCTAACCATTTGTATACTTAAAGCTCTCAGCAATAGAATGATTTGAAAATATAAATGCTCTGAGGATTTGCTGGAATTAATCCTTCCCTTCAAAGCAAGATCAAGCTCAACATATTGCAAAATAATTTATTCATCATAAGTACACATGTATTAGTAATTTATGGCTGACAAATATTGTCTCTAGGACTCTTTTCTTACCTATAGCACTGGGTAAATTGTTTTTATTAGGTCAAGTCCATGAGGTATGTCTGCTAATTCTGAGGTTAATACAAAACACATGAAGATTTGCATTAATTCAACTATCAATATTTCTTTCTGTCATAAATTTTAATTTTCTGTGAGTACCATCACTTGACATAACAAAGTTTTATATTTCATATTAGAAAAATAGTTTTCAAAGTAATAATCCATTGTAGTTTAGTATACTGTTCAATCTTGCATGATTTCTTCAATTCAAAATACAGGTGAAATATCTTCTCCCACAGTTACTATCCAACTTGTTACGTGTAAAGTAATTTATCATCTTCCTCCCTGAGTATTTGGAGAAACAATTCTATCCACAGTCCAATAAAATCTTTTTTCATCACTAAGGTTATATCTTTCCAGTGATGACCAAGCACAGGTGTTTTTCAATAAGACTTAGAAATGCAGTGCTTTCCCAAGAGTGAAGAATGCCTTACAAGAATATTCAGAGTACAGTGTGTTCCAGGCATGGAACACCTGTTACTTGTTTAAATGTCTCATGAAGGGGACAGAGAAAAAATAGTTTCTCTGTGTCTCTGGGAACATACACAAATTTAGCATACAGTTCTTTTTTGGTCAAGTACAAGTTTGAATTACCTTCAGAGAGGCCATAGGATATAATTTCTTGAAGATGCTCTTTGCACTACAGTTTATTCCATAATATGACTGTGAGCAGGAGATAGCCCAGAGAAGTGAGGGAAATGATGGAGAAAAGAAATTAAACAATAAAATGGAAGGTGATCTCATAAGTCTGATCATGAAACTGAGATTGAACTGGAAAACTCATCAATTTATTTTTACTGCTCATGTTTGCATTTGGTCTTCTAATTTTATTTAATTGTTGGACACACGAGATTCAGGTAACTGGTTTTTAAATACTGAAAAGACTTTTCAGTATTTAAATACATTTGTAAATACTTTCTACATATGAAGGTGCTATTGACCAGCTCTCCTTAGGAAATAGGCTGGTTTTATATTATTTTTCCTATATTTTGGGATGAATCTAAATGCTCCCCACATACAACAGTCTTTCAAGTCTTTCTCCCATTAACATCACACTAAAAAATTAAAATATATGGTCCAATAGTACTTTAGTGTCTTGCAGAAATAGTTATTAATTTTGCTGAAAACCTAGGAATATCATAGTGATGGTAGAAACAGAAGTCATTGTTACATTGGTAGATTGATCTAAATTGAGCCACTTAATAACCAGTGGTGGTGAACCTATGTCCTGCATACTGCAGTGAGCTGTTTTTATTACTGAAAACTCTTAACAGTTCATCATCACTGTTAATAACCATCAATATGTCACAGAATGCACACAATGGAGCACTTTCAAATTACATGTGCATAAGTTGTACATACATACCTAAGTATATACACTCACACAGACACATACAGACCCCACACACAGTGCTCAGACTAAGCTGTGGATGCGAAGCACCTGTGCTTCTTAACATCTCTACATGAAGTGAAAAATTGAAGGGAAACACCTGTCTCCATATTTTGGTCTTCTGTAACTTTTATGCTACTGTCTATTAATAGCCACTCTATGACAAATTTTCCAGGCTTCTTTGGCAGCATTGAGAACTGTAGACATATTCATATAAAGAGAGTTCAAAGTCAGCAGTCAGTGTTAAGCAAATCCTGTATTTATAAAACTTTTAGAGTTGGATAACTTATTGTTGTCCGTCTCCACACTTGCTGGGCTCAGAACCAGACACTGTATTCACTAAACATTTTCTAATGCTCGGCTGAACATCTACAGTCATCTGTGATTTGAGCTCTGTCTAAGGATTGGTCATGCTGGGGACTGACCAAGGAAAAGCACTTTGGAATCTGTCCTACCTTGTTTTCCTTCCAACCTGGCTCAGCACATGAGCAGGTGCAAGAAGTAGGGGAGCCTCCAGCCTCCAAAAATCTTTCTATTGCTGCTGTAGTTCTTTGCAAGGAATAAAAGAATATGGAACATGCAGTGATTGTAAGTGTATGACTTTTGCTGTTTATAGTGTGTGTGTGTGTTTGGTTGTTTTGTTTGTTTAGGAGCTTTTCATTAAACGTGCTTGAAATCTTGTGTTAAGTTTTGATTCTAATCTACGTTTTTCATATACATAGACATATATTCCTTACTTTTGTGGGAAATAATAGGTATTTTGAACAATGTTGAGCATGTAGTTAATGTATGATATGGATGAACAAAATGTTTAAGGATAAAATTGTGAAAAATGCCAGGAAAAGTCAACAATTAAAGTAAAAGCTAGAAATCATTATGAAATTAGAGTTAGACATATTGAAACTCTTCCCAGGAAATGATTCAAGCAAATGATTGGAATCCCATAAATTTCAAGAAAGCAGGTATTTCTCTGAAATTTTATTACAGAAACTCAAATTTAAAATGCACCTAATATCTGATAAATAATAATGAAATAATGGTGACAAACATACCGAAATATACAAGGTACAGCATAAGCACACTTCTCATCCAAAAGTTTTTATATGTGTTGGTGTAATAATAAATATTTATAATTTTCATGAAGAATGAAGAAAGGATAGAAAACTGTCTGCATTTTCAGAGCTGCCCAGTCAAGAAGGTTTCTTGGTGTTCCAGAATGAAGATTCTCTTTATTCTAGAAATCACCTTGTTACACAGAAGTGTTTGCCATTAGGCTAAGATAATGTGATAACACTGACCATAAAAGCATGGAGCTGGAGTGGTGGTGCATGTTTATAATCCCATCTACTTGGCAGCCTGAGGCAGAAGGAGAACAAGTTCAAACCCAACCTGTGGAATTTAGCAAGGCTCTGTCTTAAAATAAAATAAAAGCCCTGGAGATGTACCTCAGTTGTAGAGCCTAGCCTGTGCAAGCCTTTGGTTGAATCCTCAGTGTAAAAAAAAAAGTATTCAACTGTCTCTTTTCCTCTACTCAACTCAGCACTTCCCAGAAACATTTAGATCTTTATTTGCTTTCCTACTGTTTCCTAGTAGGGCAAGATATTCTAACTTACTTAATAATAACATTCTCAAGTACTAATTTATAAATTATTACATTTTAAAATATTTTGATGGGTTCTTTTTTACAATAAAATATTTCCCTCAAAATCTGATCACTAAAGATGCAGTCTTAGGTTGGTAGAATCAAAGCATTTCTATGCCTTTTATCCAAATCCAACCCATTCACGTCCAGGAAGACAGGCCAAAAACAAGCCACTTTGAAGATATCAATATGTAATACAACAAGCATTGTTAATTCCCTACCACTTTGTTTGTAACTCCGTATTGTCTGTACTGTTCTTTGGCTATGTTGTAAAATGTTGTCTGTCTGTTAATGTTTTCCTCCTTTTATTTTTAAAATAAAAAAAAAAACAAATAAAAACAAAGTAAGTATCTTTTTTAAAAAAATTAGTACACATCAATCATCTCAAGCCACAGTGTTTGAAAACGTAAGTGAACAAGGCATGTTAAATAATTTAGAGAACAAGATCTTACAGATGAATATACTAACATTTTAGTTCCTTAAAACCTTCGGAAAGACCCAGGAATTCAGATTACAAGGAACAGTTTTAAAATTTCAAGGAGAGTATTTGAAAAGCTGGATGGAGTGATCAGCCCTGAGCTCTGCACCCCACCCATTCTGAGCACCTTCAGACGCTCAGCCCGTTCTACTGTATCCACAAGGAGCAGGCACGGAGGACTGCAGATGTACCACACAGACAGAAATGACACTGAGCTAATGTGTACTAAACTCTGGACTCCGAGCCTTCCTTTTCCACCCAATTCCAGAAAGCTGACAGCCCAGCTGATATTCTGTAAGTAGGTATAAGAAAAAATGCACAGCCACAAGGAAAACTCCAGCAGGAAACACACACAGAAGCTGGTTGGTCAGTCAGTCACAAAACCCATAAAAAGCTTAGCAGGGCAAAAATGTATCTCACACTAACCTTCCTATTTCCTTATTAAGCTCTTAAATGCAATTGGACAAAGAAATGCAAAGATCATGGAAAACCTCTAATATTAAAATGAGAAAAAAATCATAGCAAATTCAGGGAAAAGGAAAACACTCCAATTAGTATCTTTGGAAACATAAGAAAGGTGTTGAACCCACGATAAAAGCCATAATGCATCAAAAGGAAAAATGGTGAAATACAAAATAGATATGGGAGGATAAAAGCTCAATGATAGAGTTGGAAGATGTAAACACATAAGCAAAGGGAAAGAGAGAAAATCATAGTGTTCCTTCTTTGAAGGATGTAATCTCCAGATTAAGAAGACATATCACGAAATGTGTAAAGCTATAAATGAGGGTGGAAGAGGGAGGGAAAGAGGGAGAAAGAGAGAGAAAGAGAGAGAGAGAGAGCAAAGTTGAGCACATTTTTAAAATGCATAATATAGAAATACTTAATTTTAATTTTAGCATCTGCATAGTAATTGTGGCAGGGGAGGAAGGAGAACTCAAGCCTCTGCTTCTAAAAATTTAGATACGGAACTGAAAAACTCTTCTGTCAAATACTGTGGGACAATCAGACCCTAAACATAATTGAATTCTCTTTTGGGAGAAAAGAGACAACAACCCAAAGTACTAATGTAGCAATATATTAAGGCTGCTATGTTTTAAAGCCTCAGTTAAAAGTAACTTAATACTATACTCTTACATCAACAAGGTGAATTAAAATGTATGTACTACGTGTCCCCACAAGGAGCAAGTGTTGTTATCAGAAAGCTTCTCTTTCCTAGCTCTGCCTCCTATAATCATCTGAGCTTTAACCACCAATATCGTCATACACCACCATTCATTTGTGCACACCTGTGCTGCAGTGATGGTGTGGGAATGTTGCTATTCCAAACTTTTCATTCACTTATTCATTCCTTTAACAGATGAGCACTGAGATGTATCCATCATTGCCCATAAGTTGTACATCCTTGGTGATGAGAACAAATTCCCTGGTCTCATTCAGCTCACATTCAGAGTGAAAGGAACAAACGATGCACAACAAAAATCTTCAAAGGGCTGCACCTGTAGTTTAGTAGTAAAGGACTTGCCCAGAATCTGCGAGGTCCAGGGTTTGATCCTCAGCCCTGCAACAGAAAACAACAGCAACAAAACAAAACAACTGCAACAAAAACAACAGCAACAACAGCAACAACAAAAACCCTTCAGCAAGAGATAACCACTATAAACAACACACAGAGAGATGAAGATGCTAATTGAAATGGAGCAGGTCAAGAAAATACTCGAAGCAATGGGCTGGCTAGTAAGTTCACTCAATCTGTTAATACCTCTGTTAGGTCACATAACTTTGACCAAAGAAATTCATTTCTAGTTTTGTTTTTTCCACTTAGAAACAATTAGACAAATAATTTCCCCGCATGGTCCAACATAGAAAGCAAATCTTCGCCATTCTCTGGACTTTCTCCTCTGAGAGTTGGAACAGCAGGCCCTCAACTTGCTTCCATCCACCTGGAGAAGAACCTTCTGACTTTAGACTCAGCTCACATGTTATTTGATTCTTGCAAAATCTCTTTGGAATTCAACTTGTCTAATGACCCAGACTTGTGATTCTGTTTGACTGCGTAGAACTGTACTCTGAATGCTCACCCTAACAGTGCTTTTATTGCAGAGTAGGTATTTTGTTTTCTTGTTTTCTACTACCTCTCTTCACCAGAACACTCAAAATTCTTCTCCTGCAGGTCAGCCCTTCCCATTGTTCAGTGTGTCATGACTTCCTATTGAACTTTAGTCCCCAAGGAAATGGAATGCATTCAAAAATCTATTTTACTAGCAAAATAAATCTCATTTTACTCCTGTGGGTTTTATAACATTGATGTCAGATATAATTAAAAGTGAAGAATCCCTAAAAATGGTCTTGTGGATTGTTAATTTTATGTTTTTATACAATTACTATAATGTAAGAAATAGCTAGTTTCCTAAAACATTGGATAACACAATACTTAAATCACTTTCTGCACAAAAGATGGTAAATATAAAGGCAAGGAGTTGGGTGTTCAGAGATCTATAAACTACCTACATGAACACAGTCTGCCACAAATGCTAAGGCACTGGCTAAGTATGGCTCCTGGGCATGTCACTGCTAATGGGCTTCATAACCCCAAATTCTTCTCCGTGCTTTCACAAGGAAAGTACTCATGATCTCATTTAGGTCTCCCTGAAGTGTCTTTGCCACAAAGTATAATCTTCTCTTGTCTGGGGTTCTTTTCAAAATGCAAGCTAGTCTGCACTTTTCTTTTTACAAGTTGGATTCCAGGTCTCCAATGCCATCTCCTGCTGTCTTGAACATCTGTTTGGAGACTTTCTACTTATTTTTCTTTCCCCACTTGCTTTCCCACTGGTTATTTCCCACACCAAAACTACTTGACAAAATGGAGTTAGCAACATTAGTTTGCATGCTCTTGGGGCCCAGGGCTTTACATTCTGCAATATCCCACAGCACAGAGAACAGTGTTCTGCATAGAGTGGGGGTTGATAAATATTTGTTGCAAGAAGAAATGGATGAACAGAGGGTTCTTTTTGTTACTTCTGTATGTTAGATTCAACACATGTAATGTTTATCATTGAAATCAGATATATTTTTATCTATCTGTGCCTAAAAATGGCTAATTAGAAAAAAAAGTTCATCTTTTTTTATAAAAAAGTTTACACCCTAAATATCCAGACCTGACCATAGTCAACAAGAATTCCAAATGTGACCCCGAGACCCCTTTCTTTAACATCAGGCAATGGTACTAGTCTCAAGTTTACTCCAGTTCTTTTGCAAACCAGAATTCCAGTGGGATAGGTGGCTCCCTCCCCAGTGGGAAATATTGCAACCTCGTAAGGGTTCACAAGGTCTTCAGGAGTTGATCTGTCACAGCTGGCACCTAACACATTAGTGACTGGATCCAAATTATTTAGTGTTCTATCTTAAGGCAAATTTATATCTCATAAAATTACCAAAACATTACTTGTTATTCCAGCAATGGACTTTGATCAGTTTCTTATAGAGGAAATGTAGTTGTACCTCCTCTCAGGCATGGGAGATGAGAATTTTAATCCTATTCTAGGTCTTCTTTGACACATATTGAAGAAAACTGATTAAGAATTGCATGACAAATTAATACAATTTGCAAAAATTCCTGGCCGTTAAGAGACAGAAGTCAGTAGGTAAATATTTCCCTTTTTCTGAGCTGATGATCTTGAGATATGTTGCGTGTAGTTCAGGCTGATCTACAGTGTTGAGTGACCAAGTGAATAATGCATCTAGGGCCATTTCTTCTCCTTTTAGATATTTTTCTGCCTGTCCCTTATTCCTGTCCCCATGAAATCACACTACTTAAATAATCTTTGTTCAAATCCAAGTATCTGCATTTAGGGGAACTCAGTGAAAGCAGTCACTCGAGGATCACTCTGTCTCCATCCTATGAGAACCCAAGTTAGGAAGGACAACCCTGAAATGGAATGCTTCTCCATGGAATGTAGGAAAAACAAGAGCTTTATACCCCTTACCTCTTACCAAACTCTGGACTGTAAGCATCCCTCTGACCTTCCTCATGCTGTCAGGTTGACATTCAGAGACAAATTCCAATAAATAATATTGCTTCATTTTTCCAATGCTAATAATTAAAGCTATTTAAATCTACAGGAAGGCATATAGATGAAATGTAAAGTGTTGTATACGAATATGTACATATTTGTAGACTTCTTTCAAAGTTGATTAGTTTGAAAATGACATTCGATTTCAAAAATTAATAAATAGAACTGGCAAAGTAATTTAAGTGGCATGTTCACTATTAAACCCCAAAAATTCTGCAAACCATACAATTCTATCTTTTGTATTTTTAGCACACTTCATATATAGCAAAAATTTACCAAATGAGATGATATTTGAAAAACATAGCACAACATGAAGCCCCCTATAAGATTTTGTTAAATCTTGATTTCCTCTCCCTACTACCACAGCAGTTTATGTTCCTTTCTCCAGCTCTGTGGAAAAGAACTGAAAAAACAGAGCTTTCTATATATGACAAATGTTCAGAAGTTTGCATTTCACTTCTGGCAATATTGTTAATGTCAGTGAGCTTCTCCAGAAACCTGTATTGATGTCATTTTAATATTTGAAATGGTTCATTTGGCAAACATAAACAGTACCAATAGATTTGATTCTGTGGCCTTTTGCCTGGATAATGGATGTACAACTAGGTCCTAACTGGATTTTCTTCTTCTCGCGTTCTGGGTTTTTAAAATTCAGGTAGCATATCAGAAAAATAATGGAACTGTTAATGTCCCTGTCATAGTATCATCTTTAGAGACTAAGAATGCCCTGGGCCCCAGATTCCTTAGAAACTCTTTTGTTACTTTCTCTTTTGCTCTAACTTGTCACTCAACACCCAAGAACTGTCTTCCTCTGCCAATATATTCCAAGAGCTAGGGGCAGACGAGTTAAACCTCTAAGATTTAAAGCCTTGGTCGTGCATAAATTTACACCTCTTCTACCTTGCCCTTCCTGGAATCTAGGATTTGTTTGTTCACTTATAACTAGCCTATTTACATTGTTATATCCTTGAGGACTTGTATGGCATTTCCATTTGTACTTTGAATAAGGTTTATTATTTCTGACATTCCAGAATACAGTCAGTCCCAGTCAGTTCACTGGTTTTACTTACTGTAATGTAAAAAACATACACATTCTGTGGAAACTGTATTTCAAATTTTGATCTTGTTCAAAGCTGGCAATATGCAGTAGGATACCCTCTCATGATACTGGGTAGTAGCAGCAAGCCACAACTATCAGTCAATCATAACATCATGAGGGCAAACCACAATATTCTATAGTGTGTTATGTTGCTCATATATGAGGTTTAATAGCTGGCATGTATTAATGAATCTTGATTTGCAATCTTTCCAGTTTGCAATGGGTTTATCAGAGACAACCCCATCATAATTCAAGGAGCAGCTGTGTACAGAACCATGGAGAAGTCTAGTTATTTCTAAACTATCATTTTGTCTTAGTTACTTTTCTGTTGTTACTGGGACAAAATACTTGACACCAAAAATTAGGGAAGGAAGGGTTTATTTAGCTCACAGTTTGTGGAGGTTTCAGTCCATGCTTGGCTGGCTCCAAGGCAGAGGGCACATGGCAGAGGGCAAGAGTTCATGCAAGAACAAAAGGGAGGAGCAGCAGAGAGCAAACTTCTTTCCCTCCCTTGTATTGTAGGCAGTCCGCCTGCTCCAGGGTGGAAGTAGCTCTCACACTTATAATCCCAGCACTGGACCATGAATCAGTCAAAAATTCTAGAAGCCCACCCAATGAATGCATGATGTTTTTGGGGGGACATCTAGACACAAACCACAACACACTTCAAACTGAGCATAGTATCTCCTTGTTAACATCTAGTATTCCTCTATAATCAACTTTTCGTTTGGAGAAATGTCTCAAGATTTAACAAACATTTCCAGAAGGCTCACTGGAGCCCCACTCTTGCCTATGATAAGGGCATGGATTATCTTTCACTTTGCAAGCCATTGTTTTATATTGATACTGTCTCTAGCTCAGTAGAAAAATGGGGTTATCATTAACAGATGTTGGCGAGGCTGTGGGGAAAAGGAACCCTTCTACATTGTTGATGGGAATGTAAACCAGTGTGTAGATTCCTGACAAAACTAAAAGGAGAAATTTTATTCAACTTAGCTATTTCTCTTCTAGGTATCTCCCCAAAAGAATCAAAGACATCATATTACAGGGATACATATCTGCCAATATTTATAACAGCAAAATTTGTAATAGCTAATCTTGGTAAAGCCATATAGGTCCATCAACAGATGAATTGGTAAAGAAAATATGGTATTTATGTACAATGCAGTACAACTCTACCATTAAGAAAGATAAACTTGAGACATTTGTAGGTAAATGGATCCAATGTGAAGCTGTAATATTAGGTGAAATAAGTCAGTCAAACAAGGTCAAATGTTGCATAGTTTTTGTTACATGAGAAATTCTCTCTCTCTGTCTCTCTCTCTGTCTTTCTCTCTCTCTGGAGAGAGAGAGATTTGATAGAATCTAACAAATATTATTACAGTATATGACTACATTGAAGTTTCAACATTAAGTACACTTCCCCAAACCATATTCTTTTAGAAGTCTTTGCAGCACAGTTATTTTCACTAAATCACTCTGCTCTTTCCAGGGTACATGATTATTAGCTATTTGTTATATTTATTTTTCTGGTGATATGTTTTACTATGTGAAGCATAAATATTTCTACATGAATTATTTTAAGAGAACCAAAGAGACTTTACACACTTAAATGCTTAAAGCTGTGAGTGCATACCGCAGTCTACTAAATTAATAATTGATCTGATGGATTTTGTTTGGTTTTAATGATACAAATTGTAATGTCACTTTAAAGTGGAATCATTTCACAAGTGAATTTTTAAAAAATAATATAAACCCCCAAAGTTGAATATAATCAACATTGTTATCAATTTTAGGATCACTAAACTAACTCATCAATAATTTACACATAAAATGACTGTGTATAAAACGCATAGATTTTTCTATCACTATGAGTATTTCTCAAAATGTATCCTAGGAGCAGACTCACTTAAGAGTGATTATTAAAAATCAGCACAGATTATTTGGCCCCATCCCAGACCTCCTGATCAGAAGCCTTGGGGCTAGAAGCCAAGAATTTACCTTTTAGCAAGCTTCTGGGTTGGTTCTTAAAGATACTAGCATGTGGAAGGCACTTATCTAGAAGCTAACATAAAGTAAGTTTAAAACTCTTTTTGGTGGAAGGGAGCTGTCAATTTGTTTTCCATACTGAATCTGTTACACTGAGGTACCCCACAAAGAGA